CCAGCACATAATTGCCTAAGTGCTTCTGGATGGCAGCAGGCTATTTGGTCATTAAGGGGACCTATTAAGTCATTAGTGCAACAGTGGGACTGCCGTCTGCCTGCCGACAGCACCAGATGATCAACCCTGATACGTGTTGCCTTGCAGTTTTCCACATATTTGCACAGGTAATTATAGCTTAGATGTGAAACAACCTCAGATGTCACGCTTAAAGAGGGGATACACATCGCCAGCTCACTTTAAAGGTGATCTACTCCTCCCCTTCTCCTCCTCTTTTTCCACTTGGTGTGTGTGTGTGTTGTGCAGATGAGCAATGGGTTAGCACTGGGACAGTCAGAGCGTCGGGACATTTCGGAGAGAAGGATAGTGAGAGAGAAGGAGTTAGCAGATCTTCAAAAGGAGTGAAGAAGTCGGAGTAAAGAAGAGCAGAGTGCAGACAAAGAGTTGCTTTTTCCATCAGCCAAACTGTGGCCAACATATCGTTTCAAACCCAAACTTACACACCCGACAGGGAATGTAAATATTTGGATATGGGCAAGGTTGGATGTTAATTCCTTGCTTTAAAGATGTCCTGTTTAGGTGAACACGGTCCAAAGAACACAAAGCAAAGTATTCAGCATGATTTGATACGACGCATGAGAATCTTATTTTGATTTCGGTACTGCTGTTTCTCATAGCAACCCTCACCCAGCCTTAAGGAGACATTCACTACCCTGGGCTCACGATATTTGATTCACCGCTTACCATAAATGCTCATCAAATCACTGACATGCACAGCCAAAAACCTCTGGGTATGTAAAGAGAGAAACATTCCTCCTTGTACATGTGTGCAGTATTTTACTTTTAATGATTTACTTTCTAAGTCTGTACTGATTTGTATCCTAAGGCCATATGCTTTGAATTTGAAAACCAAAGAAAATACAAATCAAATTGAATTGAATATCTTGAAGAGTAAAATTGAATGTTGGGAAGCATCGACTATGTGGGTCCTAACACAGTTAAAGGGAATATCTCTGGCCCAGACACTGTGTGTAAATTCTGTGGTTGCTGTCCCAGCACTTTTCTGTATAAATTTTCATAAACACACATTTTGTAAACTCTAACTGTCAATACAGTTCGTATTATTTTACTATGAATAAGTACACCATTGTGCTATTTCGCTCACATCTTCAGGACTTAAAGTTCCCTGTTTTGACCACAGCATTGAAGCCAAGGCATCAGCACAACAGAGTCTCCACCTGACGTCTCCTCCAGCAGATGGATGGTACAGGGGGGTCAGCTGATTAAAATAGACCTGTCAGGATGTCACTGAGGCAGTAAACAGAGCTCCCTCCTGCAGAGAGGAAACCAGATTCTGTCACCTACCACCGTCCCATCGCTTAAAATCTTTACCAGCTCCCCTCTTCAGACCTGAGATGACAACTCTGGCATGCCCTGACATTCAGCCACTTCTCTCTCTCTCTCTCTCTCTCTCTCTCTCTTTGTTCTCTTTAACACACATACATTCAGTTTTAAAACATGTCATAGCACAAAATAAATCAAGCTGATGGAAACTCCTGCTTAGGAGTTAGTTGAACCCGCTCCTCTATCTGATCGGGCGCTGCTTGCCTGCTCAGCAGTGCCCAGACTGACCCCAGCAGACTGCCAGTCTCCTCACCGCTCTGCTGCTCCCCTACTCCACCACCACCACCTCGCGCCGTGACCCCTGACCCCTGCCCAGGAGACAGGCGCCACCGATATGATGCAATTTCTCTCCGACATGGGCCAGTGGCCTCGGCTGCAATGCGACCCAGGGAAAATAAATATAGGTGTTTATTTGGTGGGATTGAGCGAGGCCCACAGACGGCAGCAAGCTCCACATGTCCCAAAAGCAGCGTTGCACTACACAGATTTTGTTCCCCATCTTAAAAGCAATAATATTTAACATCTAGATGAACTAGAGTTGTCGCTATACCAGAATTTTAAAATATTCCAAATGATGCTCGTTAAAATTAAACAATATGGAAACATGTTTTGTTAGTACAGCAATGAAAATAGAAGTCCTTGGCACCCAATATCAGGTTGGATTTTTTTGTTATGACCAGAAATTGCAAGTCAACTCTTTTACACTGTCTCTTTCACTTGCAGTAGCTTTTGGGTTATAAAATAACTTAAGATCTGACGTTTCTTAAGCTTCTGTACTTTTGATACTATCGATGACTAAAATAACAGAGACTGCATCATTTTGAAACACTGTATACAAAAGTATTGAAGTATCAAAAATGTTGACAACCTTAAGGTGCCTGTACCGTCAACACATTGAGCTACAGTGATGCAGGTGATGCGAAAAACCTTGCGAAACCTTACATCTTCAGATTTTTCAGATATTGTATCAAAAGCAGTCAATAGAGTACATTCCTGTCAAGTCCTGATGGGAGTTCATTGATCCAATCTTAAGGGAGATAATGTGTAGGAGTAACATAAAGTATTGGAGTCACTTCCTGGAGCTTTGGCTGCAACTTGCAGGATGTTAACAGACTTTCCTTTCTGCATCCATTTCTCACAAAGACTTTGGTACTGGCCAGCCCGCCCAGCTGTCAACCTACATCGGCCTCCAAAGAACTAGAGAAGAGCCATGCACCAAGAGCTGCCTTCGTTTCATGAACCTCTCACAAAGACATCCACACCTCGCTGTGGTTTTAAAATAACATACAGAGGTCTCAGATGGACAGAGTTCTTCTTCGACAACACTGATTGTTGATAGATTGCTCTCCACCTGTTTTTCCTTCCCTATCCTAGAGAGTGTTATCAACTTTACCTTTTTCCATCCAAAAACGACTTCCTGTTGACCTGGACTAGTGCCTCAGGACCGGATGTCTACCATCTGCAGTGGCACAACTGGGACCAGGTGGCTTTGAGAAACCTACAAGTGCGACACATGATGAATCACCTGTGTTCCTGAGCCCTTATGCAGAGGTCAGTGTTACAGGATATTGTAAGCAACTGATTTTATTGGGAACAAATAATATGTTGGGCCGTCTGGCTCTGGAACCTTTCCCAACTCAGATCTCTCTCTCTAAGCTTTGCTCATGTTTCAGATTAACGTTGGCGGTGAGATGACGCACATCAGTCTCCCATGCATTTTCAACCCCAGTGTTGCCTTTAAACTTTTTCTACTTCCACAAATCAGGCTCTATCTCTGCCTTTCTCTCTGTGTCTTATTCTTCTGATTCCCACCCACACGTTTTGTCTTTGAGCCTTCCACTTTCCTTCCTTCTGACCTCATCCCGTTCACAGTCAAGCGTAAAGGGAATCAATCAGCCATTGTGTTCAGATTAAATCACAAATTATTATAATTGAGAATAATAGTTTCCATGTCAGTTTCAGTTCAGCTCTGAATTGTTCTCAAACAGATGGAACGAAGGGGTTGGAAGATTTAAGGTCCAAAGATTCTTGTACTATGACGGGGTGAGATTTAAGTTATCCATGGTCCAATTTTTGACTGATTTTTCATGGCAGTAAAACTGTTAACTGAATTTGAACACCTGTCTCGTAAAACTGTTACAATCGCTTGTAAATTCAGTGCATCCTGCCTGTTCTTTTCTCTGCCTGTTCTTTTCTCTTAAGATAGCTTATGACTTTAAAAGTGGAATAGGAGTTCTTAGGAGATATACGCACTTCTCTCCAAAGTTGGATACCCCTCTGCTACTACTAAACCCTTTTAGGATGTCATTTTAAACATTGTTGCTTTTAGGGGCAACTGCCAAGCCTGCCACACTAAATACAGATCAGTGCTACGGAAGTTTAAGTGAGACTGCTTTATAGTTTAAGAAGACATATGAGGCATGGAGAAGATAAGTAAACTACACATCTACAGGACATAACACACTACACAAATGCAAAGCTCTTAATGGCATTAGTGGCTCATTTCTTTGTTACTTAGCAGCACAGTGGGCATAGCTGAGCTTATTTCGAGGGGTAGTAAAGCTCTCAGCCATGTGCCGGGCATGCAGTGTGACTTTGACAGCGTAGTTAGGAGGTGCTGATGAAAGAGGAGAGGCTGGGAGCCCACTGCCTCTCAAATTAGCCCCTCCGACATGTCACATGGAAGCTTAGTCCCTCAAAAGATTCCGTTGCACTACACCACCAGTGTGCATGTACGGAGCCTCGCGTTTTTTTGTAATATGCCTTCATGTGTGGCGCACCATGCGTGCACAGCACATGTGTTGGGTTGCGCATGAGTACACATACTGAGATGTTTTCCTTCTTAGTGTAAATCAAAGGTTTTATCAGAACATAAATAAGAAAAGAGCCTCCTCCTCATGCTGTCAAAGCTGATCACAGATATTTGGAGGACCTCCCACACATCCATCTTGAGCTTAGATTACCTCCAACTTGCTAATACTCGTTAAAAAAATCATGTTCCCTTGTTTTCTTGTTCATCAAACAATAAATTAAAGATGTATTAAAGATTTTCCCCAATGTTTTTTTCATCAGGTCAGTTGATTAAGTCATTTTGTTCTTCTGCCAATTGACTGTCTATGTCCAAGTTTGCAATACCGCCAGACTGTCTGTATTAATGAATGCGAGATCTGTGCGCTCCTCTCATCTTCTCTAATCTGTTCTGCATGTGCCGTGCTCAACCTGACACCCTCAGTGCAGATTCAGCCGTTGAGCATGTTTGTTTAGTGAGGTGGATGGACATCCATAACCATAAAGCTGTCTCCAGAAGAAAGGTTTTAATCACTTTTTTTTCCCCTCATATTGTCTTCTCCCACATTCTCTGACTGTTTTTCTCAGAGTGGGTGCAACACCAAAAAGCTGTGCACACACTCAACCTTTCCAAGGATTTTAGAGCTCAACCTGCTGGTCTTATGAGGCGCTTTAGTACCAGCAGAATGAGACAGGGCATACAATTGTACATGTCCTCATACTCCCTCTATGCTTGGCTTCTTTGCCCAATTTATCCAGTAGTGTACATTCAGGGAATCAAAAAGGACAGAAGTATTGAGTCCTCTTACCTGAGAGAAGTTTAGCCCATTCAGGGGGTGGCACTGCTCCTCCACCCGCTCCACAGCCCCCGTCGTCTTCCCCATCCTCTCAGCCTCTTGAGCCAAAAACAGATCCAACACAGGAGTCCCCCTGGATCTTACGTCCCACTCCGTCAACGAGTTCACCATCAGCATCACCCACACGGGCCTTTTTCTCTCCCAGTTCCCTGCGATGGCATTGAACAGGTAGTCAGCGTACAGGCCGCGTCCTCGCTGGTCTGGGGTCATCCAGTAGGGCATCATGTGTTTCACGTAGTCGAGGTGGCGTTTGAGGCGGCGGTACAGGTCTCGAGGTAGCAGCGTCTGTAGGTTCTCCCCGTGGGGGAGCAACTGGCAGCTGGTCAGCTTGGAGATGGTCAGAGGGTCGGTCAGGTCCAGCTCGAAGAAAACGTTGCGGCTGTTGTGGAAAGCTCGCTTCGACTGATCGGGAATAAAGTCCCAGACTCGGGTGTAGGGCACGTGGATGGTACCGAATAAGTAAGAGGGTGGATGAGGAGGCGGACGCTTGACCCTCCATAGGAAAGAGTTCATGTCACTTTGCTGGGAAGCAGGAAGGAAAGGAAAGAACAAAACATCAAAACCATCATGTCAGATCAATTCAGCATGTCTCAAAACCAAAGCTGACACTTTTCTCCTCTGTTGTTGTTTACTGGCTCATATTCCCGGGTCAACAAGTTAAAGCTTGAAATACCATCTTAAGATGACAGCAGGGGGAAAATACTAAGTCTATGTGCATGGGGCTGTGTTACAAGGGCTGCTGTGGTGCAGGCAGGGGGGTTTATAGAGGGGCCTTCTGGACTGTAAACAGACCCCCGTGTATTGTTGAGGTGCATACCTCGTTTGCCAAAGCTTCTTTCGGCCTGGAAAGTATTTTCAAGGCTGAAGTGCAAATATACAGCACTGGAGCTCATAAAAGCCAAAAGCTGACAGTAACCTGCTCACAGTCATGACCCCACAATGATTCTTTTGTTTGTTTGTTTTTTACACCAGAGCAGGGATATCTGCTGCTGAGAGTTTTAAATGCAGCACAGTTTTGTCCTTTATGATTTATATTACAGGAAGTGTTTGTCTAGTGCGGTTATCCTTACACAAAACAACGTCCCAATGGAAATTAAATTAAATGAGCGTGAGGCCATATTGCATACAAAATATGTTTGTTATTAAGTACACATGAAAATGTGCTTTGCATGTGCAAAGACTTTGATGTTGGCATTATTTAAATTTGAAAAAGACTTATCTTTCATAAACAATATCAGACTTCTGGCTTTTGAGACATTCTGTAATCTGCCATGTGAGGGATGAAACCCATTACTGTAAAATAAAGTTATTCTTGGTAAATGTTTATTCCTAAAATTTAATCAAGGTTTCCTTCAGCTGTGATCCAATTGGGTTGCACTGCCAAAGTAAACTGTTGCTGCCAAAGTGAGTAAAGTCATCTTGTGGGATGTTCTTTTAACATCACAATTAACTAAAAACGAACTTGCAGAAATTTCTGGCAGAATCTGGTTCTACAGAAAGTAAATTAAAAGGGCTGTATTTAATTTGAGACCATTTTTTCCTTGCAGATAAAATGAAAAGGTTAAACAGTAGTTTCTCGGTTTTTCACTCAATTTCCAGTCTGAGGGCATTAGGCGCATTAACATCCTCAGTCATAGCCTACCTGACAAAGCAATAGGATATAGCACATCTTTATTGTGCATGGCTGTTAACCAGCAACCAGGCGCTTAGGCCAACCCTAAAAGGAAGACTTCTCGACATGGAAAGTGTGGTCGGGTCCTCGGAGAGTTAAGATCCCCTCTGCTACAAGCTCCATGGACGTTCTCTGGGAGCCTTGACGCGCGGGGCTGCGTTTTTATGGGGGTAATTACTCCTAACAGAAAACAGAGACCACTGTACTGACGCATTACAAATCACATGAAGCGAAGGAGCTCGACGTCCTCAGTGATCTCTGACAACAGATCCATTATCCGCACACAGGACGTAAAGAAACAAAAGCCTGTGATCTTCTAACGGCTCCCTTATGATGAGTGTCACATTTAAAAACGTGCCTTATGCTGCGGAGGTCGTTTGTGTTGGATGTGATGTCTGCAGTCATGAGTTTGATTGACTTTTTCCCCTTCATGTGGAGGCGGCGTGAGGGAGGCAGACAGACAAACAGACATACTCAGTGAACTGGCTGCTCTGCTCTGCTCTGCTGCACTTCCTCCCGTTAAGAATTCAAACCACATCCATCATTTTACCAATACGCCCGATAAATGTTTTTAAAGAGGCCGCGTGCTGCGCTTAAACACGATCGCGTGTGATTTTTCGGTGAGAGTCTCCCAAATGAAGACAAGTCACCCGTGGGTGTTCCCCACTTCCCATTTGACACATAAACAGCCATAAAGTTGGCGCGTGGTAACGATTAGGCCTACTTTTGGCAACTGCTTTCATTTAAAGCTTGGATCTATTCAGTAAATTTATAGACCAGTAACAATATACCTGAACTCCAAGTGTAATGATAAATCAGTTAATTTTATAATTATCGTTGCAGTATAGAGAATAAAAAAATCAGGATATCTAATAATATTTATTATAATGATGATGAAGATTATTATTATTATTGCATTAGTTATTCACTTCCGTTTTTACAAGCATTCCACATTAACCAAGCAATGAAACATGTTTCATTTTCTGCCTATCTTGTATTTTTTATCTTATTAGCTTCTGTTTATTATCAAAGGACATAAAATGTATTTATTATTATTTATTTATATTTCAAATGTCGTAAGAGGCTAACCTTTGACCTCATATTAGACTACAGCACAAAATGATATGAGATATAATTCTCCCCTCTTGCTGTAAGAGCCTATATATATATATATATATATATATATACCAATATGTCTATTTAATAAAATAGCCTATAGATTATTTTTCAAAATAAAAGTAATTTAAGTATCCTACAATTCAGAGTCCTTTAGAGAACAAGTGTCCCTCAGTTGTGTAAGCTCGATACCAAACAGAAAGGGTCGAACTCAAATCTATATGAGGGGTCGATCACGCGTTCATCTTACTAGAACATTTGTGTTCTTGTCTTGATGACAAGGACAATTTTGACTCACCGACTTCGGTGCGTCGCACTGCTTCGGTCTGTCCGGTCGGCCTGCGCCCCAGGGTGCCGCTTGGTGCAGGAGAGCGCTCAAGAAGACCACGGTGAACCCAAGCAGGCAGACCATCGTGTCGAGGTGACAGGACACTCCTGACAGTCAGCTCTCAGAGTGTTTCTCACTTATTTCTCCTCTTCTCGCTCTGCCCTTGTTTCTTTGAAGAATAAAAAAAAAAAAGTTACCGGTGGCCTCTTGGCTCACATGTGCACCTCGGCTGGAGGACCATTCCGCCTCTTTGCTTTTCCCGACTCTCCCCGCGGCTCAGTTTCCTTCTTTCTAAGACTTTCTCTCTGCCTGCACCGTACAGTCCTGAAGCACGAGTTGAAAACTCTTTGGAGAGTTTCTTTGCTCTGCTCCCAAAGTTTGGAGCGTCTCTTACTGGGAAAGAGAGGGAGGTGGGACGGTTTGAGTTCCCCCCCTTACCCAACACACACGACACACACACACACACACACACACACACACACACACACACACACACACACACACACACACACACACACACACACTCAAACTCACACACACATCCAACTTAGAAGGAGGGAGCAGGTTCAGAGCGGGATGACAGGTTTGCGTGAGTAAAGCTGCACAAGAGAGAGCCAAAGAAAGTGAAGAGAGAATGAAAGTTCTTCTAATGTTCAAACAAAGTCCCATGAGGAGAGTTTGGATATTGCCTCTGTCAGCATGGTCGTTCCCCTATAAGCCAGAATTTCAGATTGATTGCGAGAAGATTGATAAGTTATTTCTACAGGTGCTCGGTAGTTTATTTTTTATTTTACATGTTTATACTTTTTAAGACAACAAATTAAGACTTGTTTTATATTGACTGAATAAAATAAAATCTGGATCCGATTTGTTTAATTGCAGTAAACATTTGCAGCTTCAAGATGTTCAAGACAAAAAAAAAAGGAATAACAACATTCAGAGGACTTTATTTTGTAGTATTTTAAAAATCACCTCATTCAGCTCATGTATGGCCGTTCTCTGAAAGTTTATTATACTTTCTTGCATGGTTCTCACCATAATTCTGATGTGTGTGATATTTTTCCTCATTGCATAATATAATTGGGATTATTTACGGATCACTTCAAAGAAAAACTGCAAACTAAAGTGCAGAGTCAGTTACTCAGGTGGAATAACACAGGCAGCCTAGAGTTAAGTTTATTTCAGGTTTCAACAGAGTCATTTAAAAGATGTATAAGAACAATCTTTCATATGCTGTCATGTGTTTCCTCTTCAGGAGGATTACATTTATCTCTGTCCGTCTCTGTTTACAACCCTGCAGTGAAACATTAGGGTGATGCCCGTGTTGCGGTATCGAGATCATCAGACCTTATGTGCATGATTGATGGTGACAAATAAACTGGCCTTAGTAAGGAAACTGTGGGACATGTTGTATTTATTTCTTTAGAATTGTTAGCCATGACGTGGAGCAGGGGAGTCATGCTGAGAGAAAGTGGCCCCTCTCTCTACGCAGGCCACGGTGTCAACACTCCACTACTCTGCTGTGACCTCAGTTATTGTCCAAGTGGAAGACAGTGTGACAGAGTCAAGTAGTGGGAAATTTATCATGGAGACCCCTCAAACAAGTGGCAGCGGGCCCCCTCCCTGCAGGCCAACGGCAGACAGACCTCAGACAAGCAACTCTTTGTCCTCGAAACATGTTCTCCCCTCCTCTCCACTCCTCTTCTCACCACTCCGAGCTCACTTTTTTGAACTGGGCAGCTTTGTAAGAAGCCCAGTCCCTGAGCGCTCATTGTATTTTCTGTTCAGATGAGGCAGATTGGGGCGTTTCTGCTGAGTCTCTTTGATCAGCTTGTCTTTAACACAGTTTCACGTTGTAAAACTGTGACACTTCTGCCCTTTGACCCTTTGACTTCTTTTGTTGGGCACCATTCATCACGCTTTTAGAATCTGAAAGGCTGGAAAGTCAATGTTTCTTTTGTTTTATATTTTTAATTGAATGCAGACTCAGATGGTTTTTAGATGCATGAAGAACTGTATAAAGGAATAACAGAGAAGACCCACACTGATCTAATTTAATCTTTTCATCCTCACTTCTCTGTTTCTCCTCTTTGTGTCTCTCTTTCTAAGACAGGTGTGGGATTTCAGTTAGCAGTTTCATCTGCTCTAATACGTCCACCTGTGGACTCAGGTACCTGCTTTAACCACACCTTGCAGAGGGGTTTTCTCTTTGAAGGTGCTTTTCCACATTCTTGGCCGGTTAGGAGACGGCTTATGAGCGGCTGGTTGCAGGAGATTCCTGGACGGGGGCCAATGCTTACAGCATAGTGCACATATAGCCGGGGACGAAAGACGACTTTAAAGTTAATGTTCTGTTAGCAGACCGCAGAAACGTTCACTTGCAGAACGCACATCTGGGGAGGCGTTACACAGAGAGAGAGAGAGAGAGAGAGAGAGAGGGGTTGAAAGAAAGAGAGTGCATTCAGATCTATAGGTATTTTTTAAAGTCAAAGTATTTCTGCAACAAAAACTAGCCCAAAATGATGTTTTATACCACATTGCAAAAATGTACATATTCATTTTTCATAAATATGCACATTATCTTACTGAAAGGAAAAACTACAGCAGTAGTTTGGTGGTAAAAGAAAAGAATGATGAGATCTCAGAAGTTTTTGTGGCCCTGAAGCTGCAAGGATCCTGTGTCCTGCTTCTCCTTGTGACTCCTCGGCTGCATGTCTGTTTGATTTTGTGCACGAGTCCTTCCATGAAACCCCCCAACATTAGCCCTCTGCCTCGGCATCATTACTCGTCTAATGATAGAGGTGTTACTTCTATTACAACTGCTACTGAGGCAGCTGCACCACATGAAAAGAAAATATGTACTATTAAAGAACTGAGGCTGCAAATGTGTTTGTTTGTTATGCACACAGGGACCCCTAGTGGTGGGAGGAAGAATTCAAAGCAGTGCGGTTTGGGTGAAGATAAGGATAGATGGCCTGAGGGCAGAATGATGGTGCTTCAAAGAAAATGTGATTATGATGGATAATAAGAGGTGGCTGGTAGCTTTAGGCAGCACCCCACTGAACGCTTTCCTTCTCCTGTCTCTCTTCTCTGCTCACACACACAAACACACGCTCACTATCTTCACCCGTCTCTTGCTCAGGTTCCAATATCCTTTGTCCTGCTTTGAAGACGCCAAGGAATAATATTGACTTAGTCTCTGGTGAAATGTTATTGTGGTTTCTCTTTCCGGACGTCCTGGGGAAAATGACTTGGAAAGAAGGTGATAGAGGAGGAGAGTAATGTTAGGAGGTGGAAGATGTCAAACGATGTTAGAGGGGTTCCAAAATGAATCTGTTCAAGACATTCACATGAGCTTTAGGTAGAGATAGGTGGTACATGGAGTCAGCTAAATCAACCAGTATGAATCTCCTTAATACACACTGAAGAAGTACACTCTGATGTTGATACTGAAGATTGAGATTGAGATCTTCTCTTCCCGGTATCTGCAGTAACTCTGGCTGTTGGACTCATGTGGATGGCTATCTGTGTATCTTCATCCTCCAGAATGAGCAAAAGCAGGAGGGGAAACCAGGCAGCAAAATATAAAGAGGCAGGGGTCATTACTAAGATTGCTTTTCTGGCAGCAATGTCTTAAATTAACTGTTTTATAAATTAGTCATTAGTCTAAGTTTTAACTGTTTTTCTTCATGTGGAACTATAAGAGTAGAATATCTATAGAATAATATCTGAAGCCCATTTCACATATAGTCACCCAGACAGCTGACCAATGAAAGGAATATATCAGTATATATATATATATATATATATATATATATCACTATAAAAATATATATATAGTATCACTATAAAAATATGGTAATTTGCTTTTTGCCAGATTTGGAAGATCCTATACTGACATATCTGTCTGTAAGGCTAAGCTGGCAAACTCAGACTAGCATTGGAAATAGGGCAGCAGCTTATCTGTATTGAAAAAAAACCAAGGTAATGTAGGCCTTTACAGTTTTAGAGGTTCTCATGGATGTTCTTTTTTAAATTTTGTTTTTTAAATGTCATGTGCCTTCTTTTAAAAAAATATGTATTTATATTAAATGTGCCTGATCTCAGGACAAGGGTATTTCGCTCTCATGTATGCTTTATGGAAATGATAATAAATTGAATCCTGAATGGTAAGTCTGGAGAAGCAACATAGCTGTTTTACCTTTGCTATTCTTTTGCTCAGCTACCTTGTTGCCGGAAATAAGTAAGTTGTCCCTCTTCTCCTCAAACTTGTCAGGACAGATATAGTGTATTTTCCAAAAACGTTGCTTTGAAGGATAATTAGAAAGTTGCGGGGATATACAGCAAATTTAAACGCTTTCTTTAGCAAAACAGTGCAGTTCCTAAACATAATTGAAATTCCAAACATTTGACTCTTTATTAAGAGTCTTTTAAAATAAGTATTGACATTGTTTTTGAGACTTTTTGCAAAACCCCTCTAACTCACTCGTTCAGAGAAACCTACATTGAGGGAAAGATGTCCTTTTATATGTTATCCTCCCTGTAGATGACATAATGAAACATATACTGTCATTATAAAGATGAATCCTTTCCTGAGATTTTAGCCCAGTATCAGTTTTGACTATAATGTTTATTTTGGCTCTTTTTGCAAAAACACACACATACTTACTGCCTCTCTCCACAGAGAGACCCATCTTTTATTTGCTTTCTAAAGGCTTATAATGCGCTCACATCAAAGGCTCTGTGGGCAAAGTCTCCCCATGATGCATTGTGTTTTTTCCCACTGATCATTGGCATTGTGAGTAATTGTATTATCCATATCGGGAACCCCCTTTGCTTTCTTACCTCTCATTCTGCCCCATTTCCTCCTGAGAGCCAAGGCAGGGGGGGTTAGAGGAGTGAAAAGACCTCTCCTGCTGTTAAAAAGATCGAGCTTTGGGCTTTGAATGGTAAAAGAATAAGATATAAAGGAATAATGATGCCTCCCCTCTTCACATTTCTAATACCACAGTGACTGCACATCTCAGCACTGAACAATAGATGTATTCATAACATGATATTATGGAAATGTGATATAGATGTCTAATGTTATTCAATATAATACTTGTATAGTTCATTGTCAATGTCCTGTTTGGGGTTTGGCAATGCAGGGGTTCAACAGAGGCTTCGAAAGAGCCAAATAAGAACTCAGCATTGACAGTGAAAACAGCCTGTTATGATACCATTAAATCAAAGCCTCAGCTTTGCTCTGGTGTGCAGGAACCCCACATGATTCCTGCCTGAAGGAATCAGATGATCTCTTCAAAAATCTGGATTTGGACTTGACCCTTTTTTGAAGATGGTCATCTGGTCTAATGAGTTTCTTTGAAGATTATCTTGTTGTCCAAGATGCTTTAATGCCACATGTATAGTAAATGCATGGCATCAAA